CCACCGCCACCGCCACCTGCCTCGCCACATGCGCACCTGCCCGCCTTGCTCGCTCGGAAATCATTTTGGACTCTCTCGGAGATGCCTGAGCGAGCAAGGCACCACCTTGCCATGCGCACCCGCTGCCACCTCACTGGTCCGTGCCCACGGGCAACCCCACTTCACCGGCCTGCACCTGCCACCACCGCCTTTCAACTGGCCCCCTGTAGAAAAAGTCTGAGGACCCCTGATCTAGATGATCACAAGACTGCATGAAACCCCAGCTATGAGGTCAGAAACTTGTTCCAACCTCATAGCTGGGGATGAGCATGCAGGAGCCAGTGCAGAAGAACCTTGCTGGCTGCGTTCCCAAGGTCCTAAGAGCAATCTCTGGATTTGGGGCAGGAAGAAGCGGACACCTGTGCCACCAACACCTGATGTATCCTGGCGGTGCCACAGCCATCTTCCCTCCTGCGCTGAGGTGCTACGCTAAAATCAGGAAGCATAGAGATGACTTTCATCTTTGCACCCACCCACTCCCAAAAGTTACCAGAAATACTTCATGTTATGGGCATCTCAATTGGACTGTATGTTATCAGTAATTACATCTGTAAATCACATTCCCTGCTTAACAGATGCAGGGGGTGATTTTAAAGCATTAAAACATCATGTAAAAGCATACAAATAAACAAGTGCAAGAGCAAAAAATGCAATAAAATAAGAGCTGCATTAGAATTAAACTTGAGCAGCAACGAAACATTATACGAAATTTAAAGCACAACTGACCATCTAAAATGCAACAAATAAGGAGCTATTTCACCTCTTTTAGGAGGACATTCTAGAGCTGGGGCCGCTGCCAGGAAGGCCCTGTCTCAAGTAGCCTCCCATCTAGCTCCTGTAGATGGCATAACACAGCCTGTTATGGTCATCAGAAATTATAGACAGTTGATCTGGAGGTGTCGCTGTATACCATTTGCTGGGGAACTTCGACAGGAGAAAGATTCTGCAGTCATATCCTGTGTGGGTGATCCTGGCTCAGCTGGTTGCCTGCTGTGTGAACTAGATGCTGGACTAGATGGACCCTTCTTGGTCTGATCCAGCACAACTCCTCTTCTATTCTTAAAGATGGACATTTATATACCAGAGCATTGGAAAAATGCCTGAAAGCCAGATAAATAGATCCAAGTCTTGTGTAATGTGCCCCATGAAGCACACTTGTTAGAACATGTTACCATCATCTAATGAGAGGTCACCAGAATCACTGTGGCCAGAATCAAACAAGAATCACTGTGGCCAGATGTTCCTTCTCCAAGAGAAGGTAAAGCTGGAGAACCAGACAAAGGCAGGCAAAGGCACTCCCAGTCACTGCTAATGCCAGGACTCTCAGGAGCACTGCCAGAGTCAGTTGCTGACACGAATGGACCTGAAAGAGAGAGGTTTCCAAAGGCTACCTGGAGCTTGTGGTTGCAGGGACTATAGCTCAGTGGTACAGTACCTGCACATGGTAGGTACGAGCGGAGCAGGGTGGAGCTGGGGGTCAGACTAGATGGCCTGGAAGGCCCCTTCTGACTCGCTCTGTTTCTATCTGCCTCATATACAGAGGATAAAAGGAGGATTATATTCCAGGAGAAGGCTATCTGTGGACATTATCCTGATGATTATATGCTACCTCCTGTATCAGATACCATGTGCCTACGTACTCCAGTGACTGGGATACCTTGCAAGAAGGATGCTATTGAACTAATATCCTACAACTGGTTGGCCACTATGCAACCAGAATGCTGAATGAGTTATTTATTTATTATATTTATAGCCTACCTTTTTCTTGCAAGGAACCCAGGGGGGCTTATATAAACATCTTCTTCTCCATTTTATCTTCACAAAAATCCTGTGAGGTAGGCTGAGTGCCAGTGACTGGCTCAAAGTCATCCCATGAGCTCCATCACTGAGTGGGGACTAGAACCCGGACCTCCTGAGTCTTGCTCCAACACTCTAACCACTCCATCATAGAAAGCTCCAGGTTCAGTTTCTCTTATCCTTGTGGTAATAGAATCAGAATCAGGTGTGACAGATCTCCTACATTATGTAATGTATTCTACATTAGTTTCCCAACAACACCTCTTCCATCCAGAGGAGCATGATGTATTATAAACAGTATATTTTCCTGAGTCTGGAGATACAGGCAGTTGATCTGTAGCTTAGCCTCTTAGTGGGAACACGTAAAGACTGGCAGGAAATCTGGGCAGCAATAATATTAATCGCTCCACTGGATATGATGAACTTTTTCTTTGCTCTGGGCACAGTGGAAAACTCATCACCAGCAAAGGAATGTGGGGGGAAGGGCTCCCCTGGCCGCTTCTCCGCAGAATCCTGCCTATAACTGCCTTGTGCATTGAAAGAATATGTGAGGGGAATTGCAGGGTGCACCATCGCGCCTGGAAGGCATGGCCTCCCACCGCCTGTGCATTCAGAATGCATGTACACATGAACACATGTGGAGCTACTCCACATGAAAGCGGATCTGGACTGGTCCTCCCTTGCAAGCACATATACAGCCCCTTTCTGACATGCTCCAAACATAAAGATGGGGGCATGTCTGTCAGATCCATCAACGGCAACTGCCAGAATACAGCTTAAAACACTTTAGCAACGGTTTCACCCTTTTTAAATCCCTGGTTTTATTTTGCAAAAGTTGTGGCGGCTTTATGCTGTGGTTTTCCAGTTTAAAAGATGGTTGGCATCATATTTTCCTATATTTTTGGATGTGTTGATGACTTTTTGGAATACTCTACACATGTATTTTGTCATTTAAACTTAAACACTTGTAGGAGGTAATTTAAAAAGCACCACATGTACCAGAGCTGAGACTACAGTAAAGCTCTGAGCTTTGAAGAGGGATCACACACAGGCTGCTCATGTAATAGACTTGCCTGAATAATACGAGACAGCATTTGGACGATGCTGAGCATGGTGGGGATTACATCCATATATATGTTTTTGGCTCACCTACACAAGTTATTCTGTTTAATTGTTGAAGGTATTTGAAAACGAAGTAACAAAGTAAACAGCACTTTGTATTGTAATAGGATACGTATATAGAGTACCATATAAACCGATGTACAGGGCAACTCATGTATAAGATGAGGTCAATATTTTGGGCTGTTTTTGTGATATTTGTCATATGTTGAGTGTATAAGAGAACCCCAATTTTTTGCTTTGCTATTTTCAGTTTCAAAGGTCATCTTATACACTGGTAGATACAGTATTTCATTCTTGCTATTTTACTAAGCATCCAAAGTGGAGGGTCCCTTGCATGGAACCATAAGAGCTCAGAGACTGCTTTCCCATGATTTTCTCTCAGATCATGTTGGGAATGTTTGGAAGAGGGTGGGAGGCCAGTCACATGGGCCCACTGCAATCAAGATACTGCTTGGCCAGGAGAACAACAGAGGTATGGACAGACCCCATATATCTACCCAGATAGATCCAATTTCCAAATGCTACCATGACTGTATGGAAAGAAGCCACACAGAAGCAGTTCCCAGCTACTGCGCTAATGCATGTAGGATCACTCAGCTGCATTTAAATTCTGGGTGAATTCCATTGGCTTCTGAATAAAAGTGAGGAAACATATATGTGTCCAAATAATTCCTGCAACTATTTTGCTTTAAACTTATGTTTAACACAAAGAAAAACTCAAACAATATGCCAAAGCGATGGAGTTATGCAAATGAACTTACTGCTGGCACAGTTTAGTTTTTATAGCATTAGAACTGGCTTTTCTAGGTCTCTAACTGACAGCAGAGTCTCATCCAATGGCTCTCTTGAGGGACACACATTATCAAAGGCTTTCCTCCCATCATATATCAAATTTCTCACACTTGGCAGACATGCAAGCAGTACTGATAAGCCCAAAAGGCTTCTGCAGAGCGAACCTAAATATGCTTACTCAGAAGTAAGCTCCGTTAATGCTTTCTCTTTGTTTACAGAAGATTGTAACTTTTTTCATAATAGAAAACTGCTTATGGAACTTTTTTTTTTTAAAGGAAGGATGTATGTATCATGACCTCTTTGGTGAATGACAAGACACAGCTTGTAGGACAGAATCCAGTACAAAGCATGGATTTGAATTGACCTGTAATACTGGATTGCATCCAGTGTGAGTCTTACTTAAATAAACCCATTGCAATTAATGCAAATTGTTAGATAAACACTGGATACAAACTATTTGAAACATATTAAAAGCTTTTTCATGGGACTCTTATTTGAGTGAAAAAAGCAAATGGCTAAAGACATTGACTGTGTAGGATGCAGTGCACTAATATTCAGATGGCTGGACTCTGCTGGTGCAGAGAGAAAGATTACTCTGAGGGTGAAACGTCAATTATTTCTTTTCCTTTTTTTCACAAGTTTACCGGACAGTTTGAGCTACTTGCGCTGAAGGGAGCTATCAGCCTGGAGCCGTTGGCTACCCATGGAGGTAAACTTCAGGTTTTGGATGGGGCTTACTTCGAAATAGACACGTCTTGAATTGTACTGCACAGGCTGGTTCTTAGAAAATGAACGGCGGGGAAAGGGGCGCCGCTACTGGCTATTTTTACAGTGCAATCCTATATGTGTCTATGGGTCCAACGGGGCTTAGTCTCAATTTAAGTCACCATAAGATTATACCAGGACTTAGACTGTTGACATGTTGGCTGGGCCATGCAGAGACTTGCAGAAAAAATACAACGTCTAAACTGGTATAGGATTCCGCCACTCGAGTACATTCTTATCTCTATTTTCCGTGAATCTAGGGGGTTGCCGCAAAAATACAAGATTTTCACAGTTTAAACGTCCAAGTCTGCGACGCGCTCGGGCCACTGTACCCCGTTAAAGTGACAGTTCCACTATCCAATAGCAGTTCAAGGACGCAGCTATCATCTGATTGGTGTGAGTCGTCATCCGAAGGCGGATCTCCCGGTCGCTCAAACCCGGGCGCCAAGAAGAGGAAGAGTAGCATCGCGCGCTCTAGGCCCGTCGTCATGGAGACGTTCCTCTCGCAAGTCGAGCAGCTGCCCAGCCTTTTGGCGGCGTCCCGCTCAGGACTGGTGCGAAGCTGGAACCCGGCGACCCTGGGGCGCGCCCTGAGTTGGGGCCGCTTCTTCCAGCAAGTGCACGGCCGCTTCCAGGCCCAGCCCGGCCTCCGGGCCGCTTTGGAACGACGCTTAAGCCGGGGAGGCCTGCTCGGCCGTTTGAAGCGCTGCCCGGAGCTACTGGGCTTGGCGCTGCTGGAGAACCGGGCGCTGCCCGCCGCCGCCCGCCAGCGCCTGTTACGCGGCCTCTTGCTCCCCAGCGCCGGAGGGGAAGAGCCCTTCGCTCACGTCCTGGCGAGGCGCCGGGCCGCCTGCCAGCTTCTCCAGTTGGTGCCTCCTCTCGAGACGTCCGCTGCGACCGGGCCGCGAGCAACGCCGCCGGTGAGAACCCAGGCTCAGCTGCTGCTGTCCCGGCTGCGAGAGGAAAGCGATGGCGACGGCCACGGAGGCCGCGGCGCTGCTGCCCTCCTGGAGCAGCTCCCTCGTGGCCCCACGCTCTACTGGGCTGTGGCGGCGGCTCTGCTGGAGCCCGACGGGGCAGTGGAAGCCACGGCCACGTTGCTCCCTTGGCTGCTGGGCGACGCAGCGCACTTAGCTACCTTCTGTCGCCTCCTGCCCGCCCCGTGGGTGGCCTCGCTTTGTAACCGGCATCCTGAACTGCTCGCACCCTATTTGAATCTCCTGTCCGCCTGGGGGGCCCGTCTCACTTACGACCCCCTGCACGGGGAGTGGAGAACCGACGACTCGGAAGAGGACGGTGTATCCTGCCAAGAGATGCACGAACGTATCATCTGCCTCTGCCAGGAGCCAGAGCCTATTGGTAGTGCAGCATGGACCCAGATAAGACGCTTGAAAGCCCAGGATGGGGACTTCGAAGTCCGAGGCCTGAGTGTTTGGACTGACCTCCTGCTGGACTTGGGCACATCTGCTTCAGCAAAGAAGCCCTAGATAGTTCTCCGCCAGTCCTTTGTCCTCTGAGGATCTGGCCAAAGCATTCGAAAATCTAGAATGAAATGCAAATAGCTGCAAACAAGTTCATCACTTTCTGATTACAGTTACTATCTTAAAATAGAGTGATATAAACTTTGGGTTTCCATGCTGATCAACTTTTTCTAAATTGAAAATAGCCTTGGCCTTTTTTACTCCTGGATGTTAGATAGGATTACATTGTATTGTAGGTTCTCTTCTCTCACCTCCACACTTCCACCATATGTTCTGTCTGCTTCTGAATGCTTAACATCTATGTTGTTGGTGTCATTGAATCCTTTTCTAAAACACAAAATGGTTGTGTAAAGTGTAAAAACAAAACTAATGAACCTATGGTAAAACTTCTGCTTGAACCTTTATGATGTTCACAGCTATAGGTAGAAAATCACAGTACTATTGTGGATGCAATACTCATGGTTTGAGCTGCTCTCTCTCCATTCCTCCCAAGCAAGATTTCATAAAATAGCAAGGAATAGCTAGTCAACTTTTATTGGGACCAACAGCATGATGGTTTTGTAATTGCCTTGATTGTCCAGCATGACATCCTATGCTACTTGTATTCAATGTAGATGAGTCTGCAGTATGTATCCAGAGGAGGAGGAAAAAAAGTTCTGGTGCTGTGTTCATTTGGTGCAGCTGCAACTTTTACAAATTCCTTCTGATTTGTAATGTTTACTATTTTTATGTAATGTGAAAAAATGTATTTATAGATATATAAAACAATTAACGATTTTAAAAAGATAAATGCATATATATATATATAAAAGGAAGGTTATGGCCATTCCCATAGGACTGTGCAGTAAATATGTACTCTGAATTACCACACTGTAGCCCTAATTTGATAGTTTGCAGTAAATCCAGATTGAACCTTAAGGACAGAAACTATAAATAACCTGAGGTGTTTATACCTTTCCAGTCAGTTAGCAACAACTTCATTACTATTCATGACTTATCTGAGTCATCTCACTTCTGTTGCTATCAGTGACATAGGTTATGAACCTCTTGTTGGATACATGCAGTAGTGTCAAGCTTACCTTTCTTTCTTGTCATAATACTTCTATGCAGTTTTTAAAGAACACTTTTTATTAGGTCTCATAACACAGATTTTTTAAATTTTGTATAAGCTCTACATGTTTTTTTATTTAAAATTATTTTTAGACTGTCTTAAAGAATAGAATCTTCTCAAGACAGCATACAAGATGGGTCCAATAATGATCAGTAAAAATATGTTCAATAAAAATAAAAACACACAAATTATAAAACTCAGCAAGAGCTTTTCTATTTCTATGTGTATTTCACTGTGTAGTCAGGTGCTATCCTACATATTCTGAAGGAACACGTCCTGTATGTACCTACCTGGGCCCTAAGATTCTTTGGGGTCCTTCTTGGGGAGCCACCTCCAACAGAAGGGTTGTTAACCAAAAAAGGGCCTTTTTGGCTGCGGCACCCCACCTATAGAACAAGCTCTCTAAGCCACCTACGAAGGCCTTGACAATTATAGGCAGCCTATAAATAGGTATGCCTGGCATTTACTTTTTAGCACCAGGTGAAAACTTTTATTCTACAGGTATTTTAATAGTTACATATTTTTTAGTTTCAATATTGCTGCTATGCAGCTATTAAACTAGAATCACTGTGTTTGTTATGGTTACAGTTCTGTTGGCTTACTGCTCTATTGTTTTATTGCAATATGATTCTTCCATTCCTTTGTTTATATGTTCTTTTTAACTTTGTGAACTTCCCAGAGATCAATTTTGGCTAGTTAGGCAGGATATAAATCTAATAAATACATAATACATATTGAGAACCAATGGCTAATTGAGAATTGAACTAAAATAAGGTAGTTTACTTAATAAATGTAGACTTTATTAGGTAATTACTTAAAACAAAATAAAGGTGTCTTAGTTCATAATATTATATAATCCTCTTTGAATTCTTTGTAGGAAGAAAAAGGTGGGATGCAAATTTCATAAATAAACAATCGTTCAGGTGGTTTTTAATGTTTTTGCTTGAATGGAAATACTGTGTAGAAATCTTTTGCCTTTATTGCAGACAAACTGTTTTTTATTACCTTTAGTTAAATAGCACAAGTTTTGCAATTACAATGTGGGAGGATAATCTCCTTTTCATAGAGGTTTTGTCTACCCAGAAAATATTTCTGGTTTGCCTGGTTCTGCTGCTTAGAACTGAATTGTTCATAATTTTGTCTTTATTGAAGTACTTGCTATTACCTGATGAAATAAAAGTCAGATAAAGTGGTATTACCTAATAACACATTATCTTTTTAAAAAAACTTCTGTGCTTTCTTTCCTCAGAACTGTGCAAACAGGTCAGGCCTTCTATTATGATTTATGCACACATTCTTGCTGTGCACAGCATTTCACAATTTCACAGCATAGGCACCTGAATTTTTTTCAAGCTGGAGCAATATATGACAGTCTTTCTGTTGTATGTGCTCTTCTGTAAGCGGGGCCTAGTTCATAAATATCCCCAAGCTATTGTTTTGTAATATGAGAGCATCCCTGGAGGGAACCTTTACATCCCACATTGTCTTGCATGCTCCAAACGAAGAGTTACTTTCTGGAATTTGATAAATCAAAATTTGCTCTTAGAGGAAACATTGCTGCGTGCCTGCTACCTTACAGAGGTCAGACCAAGACATGGACTTAGGCTACAGTGCCATGTGTGAATGATAGTAATTTCTCCTGAAGACAGTGGAGCTTGCTTCTGAGTGAGCATTGGGTCTGTTACATTCATGTCATTATGTTACAGTGTAGTTGATGTGTATCTTAAGCATGTCTACTCAGAAGTAAGTTCCATCAAGTTCAGTGGGACTCACAGCACAATTCTATATATTTACTCAGAAGTAAGTCCTCATCTAACGTTAGTGGGGTTTGCTCCCAGGTAACTAACTAGACAATTGCAGCCTTTGTCCCTGCTAAGGGCAAAATTCTATGGCTGGTACATGCTGAGTGGCCATAGAAAAAACAGCCCCAGAAAAAACTTCAGTTGGTGTCTGTTTTGGCTTCTCAGGTGCTGTGGGTCTTTCTGTGCTGGCATCTACCCTGAAGACAGAAGGCCCTCTTCAGAACCAATGCTGGGGGCACAGGTAAGGTAGGGGCTAGTGCACCATCAGCTTCTACCAAATCCAGGCAGTGCTCAGGCCTTTTCAGGGGATACAAACTATTTAGATGATCAGAAGTGCCCAACTGAATGTTTTTGAGAGTGAAAAAGGCACAAGGGCAATAGTCACTTCTGTGCTCCTGTACTTGATTGGAAAGTTAGGGGTAGCCACACAGGACTGCACCCTAATATGTTTAGAATTGCAAACTTGTCTTTTTTGTGGCATCTAATATGCACCAGCATCTGCTAAAGTTTTGTTAAAGTTGTAAGATTTTAAAGCTCCATTTTAGAGTTAGGTCATTTGTTTTCTCTGGCATAATTTGTATCAGTTTTATATCTCTGTTGTTAATTAGTTTCTGTTCTGCAGGCTGTGTTGTCCAGTACAGTGATTTTGTGAAGATTTCTCAATTGTACAATTGTATCTATGTAACAAAAATCAACAAGTGGGTCCTAGATAAAAAGAATCAACCTAGACCTTTCCCTAGAAGTAGAAATGGCAAAACTGAGGCTGTCATACTTTTGACATCATGAGAAGGCAAGACTTATTGGAGAAGTCAATAATTCTAGGGAGAGTAAAAGGAAGAAGAGAAAGACCAACTATGAGATGGATTGACTTCATAAAGGAAGCCATAGCCTTGAATTTACAAGAGCTGAGCAAGTCTGCAAAGCCAGAACGTTTTGGAGGGCATTCAGTCATAGGTTGCCATAAATTGGAGATGACTTGATGATATACAACAAGCAACTCTTCCATAGCGCTACTGAAAGCCAGTGGCACTATAGTTTAAAGCATGGGTTCTAGTCCCCACTCGCCCACAGAGCCAACTAGGTGACTTTGGGCCAGTCACAGACTCCCAGCCCAACCTACCTCACAGGCTTGTTGTGGGGACAAGATTAAGAGCAGGAGGAAGGGAATGATGTAAGCTGCTTTGAGCTTAAAAAAAAGAAAAGAAAAAAGACAAGATGTAAATAAAATACATAAATAAATGCTGCTGATGCCATCAGATGGCGAAGAAACCATGATCAGGCACACCCTGTCATTCCTAGGCACATCTCCAGCAGAAAGCCCGTGCTCTTCTTCCTCTGACTGATTGCATTGCTATGGCCACCAAAGGGAGAAGCAGCAGCAGCTCTTCCATTGTGAATAAATCTGGCTCCAAGACCTGCTGAATTACTGCTAGTGGAACATTGTAGCTAAGAGCTTACTAGTTGCGTTTTTCTTTCTCCCTCCTAACTCCTTTTCCTTTTGTGTTTTAAATGACAAGCCAGGCCTTGCAATCTAACACACACACACACACACACAGAGAGAGAGAGAGAGAGAGAGAGAGAGACTCTCTCGCTTACAATAAAGAACTTGTACAAATATAAGACTATTTATTTATTTATTTATTTATTTATTTATTTATTTATTAAAACATTTTTATGCTGCCCCATTCGCTGAAGCCTCAGGGCGGCTTACATCACTAAGTTAAATAATAATAATATAAATTAAAATATAAATATTAAATTAAAAATACAACAATACAGTATAAAATAAGCCGCCCTGGCCAGATAAAATCCAATAATATTAACAATTAAAATGCCGCTTGAATAAAAAGGTCTTCGCCTGGCGCCGAAAAGCAAATAACGACGGCGCCAGGCGGACCTCTCTGGGGAGCGCGTTCCATAACTTAGGCGCCACCGCAGAGAAAGCCCTCCTCCGAGTACCCACCCTCCTAATTTCTTTCACGGAGGGTTCCCGGAGAAGGGCCTTCCCCGCCGATCTCAAGGGGCGGCTGGGCATATATGGATGCAAGCGCTCCTTCAGGTAACCAGGACCCAAGCCGTTTAGGGCTTTATAG